TTACGCGACAATTAACCAGAAAAATGGGATGGTTAGATTCCTTGAGGATCCTGAACAGTACAAAACTTGTGGGATGATTGAACGCATTGACTTCTCAATCCAAAGGTGTGTTCAATGTTGATTAATATTTTGAATCTTTAAGACATTAATGCAACAAAATAGTTGTTAGGATTTTTCTGCTGATTGATATATTTTGAAAAATTACTGTGCACTTCAAGGAAAATACATAATAATCATTTTTCATGCTACTCCTACGCAAAATAAGTGCCATTTGATGTGATTTCGCACTTCAGGAAACGTCATATATCTTACCTAAAACACACATATTTAGTATTTGTTCTATCAAGAAACATGACTCATACTACAACTGCAAGATGATTATATTGAAAGGTTCGGGTGGAGCAGCTCTGCCCTTGCTACTCTCTTATAGTAACTAGCGGTTATCCCAAGCGAATTGTAAATACTACACTAGTGTGGGCGGATCAATGACTACTGGACTCTGTCCCTGAGTCATGTCCTAAGAGAATGATATACTGACCTATTCATAGCCTTAGCGGTAGCTTCATCGACGACTACCAAAAGGCCGGAGCAGGATCCGAAGCGGTGGGTCGCCAAACTACGATGCTCGAATTTCATATTGAAAAAGGAGGGGGCACATCAAGGCTGAAGTCGAAGTGGCCTGGTCAAGGAAGTGGGTGATCGTAGCCATCAAAGTCAGAGTCCCCGGCGTAGTTCCTTTTCAAAGAGAAGTCCGGTGTGTGGGCAATCTCTTTTTAGTTCTCCTCCGTTCCCCCAGGACCTACTCCCCAATCTAGAGTAGCTAAATGGGGGAGTAAAATTAATCCTTGTTCATACATAGGCTTCTCTGGTACAAAATGGCTAGCGGAGGAAAGGAAATTGGATTGCCATTAGTCTCCTTATCTAAAGTACTGTTAATCAAGGACAACTTTAGAAAACGAGGTTCACATTGTGCCTAGAAATCCAAAGAAGATTTAATTTGAAGAATATTGAAGCTTACCAAAAGACAATTAGTTCAAACATGAGGAACTATATGTAAAATCCTTGGTAAAATTACAAAAGCTACACCTTAGGTATATCTAGATTACGAAAGGTCTACTTTCTTAGAAATTACAATTTCTCCATTGAGGTATTGCAATCCCCAGAGTACTGTAAATACATGTCAAATACCCTCTCAACAAGTGGGCCATTAGTAAAATAGAACAAAGTTCAGAGAAATCTTGATTGATAGGTCACGAGGTTTGAAAATTTACGTTACAACATGTATGTTACGAATAACTTAAAGTGAGCAAAGAAACTTTAAAGTACAGCGAGTGAATTATTAACCATATTGCAGCACCCTCATCTCAATATCTCATAAATGATGAGGGGCACCTCTTCAGTTGCAAGAGCTACAAGCTCATGGTACGTGAAGGCATTGGTTAAATCTTAGTTCTTTTATTGTGAAGATAGATGCTTTCGAGAAATGTGTGAATGCGAGGCTTATACAATTCTAGTGTTAATGAAACTGAGTACTGTTGTTATTGTATTTGTTAAGTTATACTGTGGACTAGATCACACCACAACACTGTTATTATTGCTCCTAACATGCTTTTATTTTATTTTATTTTTTAGTAATTGAGATGCTTTTAGGTATAAGAAATTATGGTGTTGTTTTTGTTTAGATATTTTTTTTTTTTTTAAATTAAGAAATCATGTGTTTCTTTGGGTCTACAACATAAAAAATTGGGAACTATTGACCTGTTGCAATATTCCAATATTCTCATATGATGTTACAAGTAACAAAAAGTTTTGAATTAACATAAATATCACAATCGTGTGTTTCCATCATATTTAGCTTCTGCTATCCACCTTGGTGTTTTTGTCGAGACATGCCATTTCCGGTACCCGAAAAAACAAGCGTGCATCGAATTGTAGTGATTAAAGAATATGTGCACAATTGAACCTTTTATTCATATCCAATCACACTAACACGCTCTGTTGACATCCTTTCCAGAATTATGATGCTCTCAAAGAAGCTAACTTCCATGAATGAAGCAATGTCGTGCAACCCTTCTTACCTAGGAAAGGTACATTTGATTACTTTCAGTTTTCTTTAACCAATTTTGTGACGGTTGCAGCATGTTTCTCCTTCATACGTCCATTGTTATAGTTTTTTGTCCAAATCTTTTGGCCGTTTTACTTGTTCAGATTGGGAGGGAGCGCCAGAGACTTGATTTTGAAGATTTTAACATTGTACCTTCAAAATTCAATATATGAGCCTGCTACTTGGTAGACTTGACATTGGTAAGTATGATAATGGCAT